TTTCGGCCGCTTGTATCCGGGACCTCCTTCTTTCGGTCATGACCCAAAGCTCCTGACCATAGATGAGGGTAGGAATGTAGACCGACTGGTAAACTGAGAACTTCACCTTCTGGCTCAGCTCTCTCTTCACCACGACAGACTGGTACAACGCCCGCATCACTGCAGACACAGCACCAATCCACCTGTTGATCCCCCGCTCCATTCTTCCCTCATTCGTGAACAAGACCCTGAGATACTAAAACTCCTCCACTTGGGGCAGGACCTCCTCCCTGACCTGGAGACGGCACGCTACCGGTTTCCGGCTCAAGACCATGGTCTCGGACTTGTAAGCACTGATCCTCATCCCGGCCGCTTCGCACTCAGCTGTGAACCGCTCCAGTGAGAGCTGGAGATCACGATCTGATGAAGCCAATGGGACCACATCATCCACAAAAGCAAAGATGTGATCCTAAGGTCACCAAAGGTCCAAGTACAGAACCCTGTTTTCAAGATGACCAGATCTGGATTACCAGCGCTCCAAATGAGAAAACGTCTCACACTGTGGGCTACCAGTTGAGTAAAAACAAGTAGAACAGCCAACATGGGCTCACTTTAAGTCTTTATTATTTGGAGAAAAAAATAACATACAACATAAAACTTGCATGTATTGTCCTGCACAACATCTCTTCCTGATTTGAACACAAACTGAAGGTTTGATCCAGATTAAAACTAGGGTTGGATTATATGATACAATCTGATTTCAGAATCTTTCTTTCCCTTTTGAACAACCCATTTTAAAGATTTGATCCAATCTSATGACCAAAATCTGATCAGACTACCTTTGAATAACTGACCCAATTCTTGAGTTTGAGTCTTTATTATCAAACTGTTGCTGTCTGCTGATTATAAGTTAAAAGTTTTTATAACATTTTTATCAATAAAATCAGTTTACTCAGACTTATTACTGTAATGTGTTTAAGACTGTGACCTTGTGGGTAATGTAGATGCAGCTTGTTCAATAAATGTACCAGATGTTTTTAATAATAGAAGGATAGCCAAGAATAGATGTTTTAAATAATACCAGTCTTAATAATTTTAACTGCAGTTTGATGATAAAACTTGTTACAGATTCTACAGTCTGCAGGAAGAACTAAGAAACCAACATTTAACTTTACATTAAACAGTTTTTATTAAAATTTTAAATCACAACTGTTATTTCTCCATGAAGGCGGAAGTCGGAGCTTCTCAGTGTGACACCACCGGAAGTAAACAAGGCGCTAGCGGCGTTAGCATAGCTAGCTGAGGTCGGTGGTGTTTTGTGAGTCGGTTTGTGTGTGTGAGGTGAATGTTTGAGTGTGTGCAGTAACAATGTCTTCAGTTCAGTCTCTGAGAGAGTTTATCAGCGAGAGACTAACTGC